GTTTATTCCTGCCAGTTTTACTTTTCTATAAATACAGTTCTTATTTTCTAGGAATTTGGAGAAGATCACTGCATTCAACTGTTTCAGGGAGGCGGTGTCTGTTCTATTTCAGAAGGGTGTGCTCATCGGGCTGCACGTCCACGGCAGGTGGAGGCAAGCAGTCCACGGCAGGTGGAGGCAAGCAGAGCTGCTGCCCGCTGCTGACTCCATGGAAGAAGCTGGGTGTGTCAGCCTAATTGGCTCACAGGCCCTGGGCAGGGCCCTGTAGGACCGACTGAAAGGCAGGCAGGGAGTATCGCTCTGAGAACCCATTATTTCATTTATATTACATTACTGCCATGTGATGTTGGATGCTGCCGAGAGGAACTCTTTGTTTTCTGGTGTTCTCACTGTCAGGCAGAGCTCAGCCTCCATGTCTTAACAATGAAGGCCCTGAAGGAACAAGGTCTTCAGCTGTGCACAGGAAGGAAGTGTGTGCACCAGTAGCTGTGGGGATTTGTCTTTGAAGAATCTAAGTTACTGTCAAGTCACAGAGTAATTGTCAAATTGGGACATAATCATCATTTCCAAACTATTTTCCTTATTGTTATATATTTCACAAAGCAACATTTCTGGGTATTATGGACTGAATTGTGCTCCTCTCCCCCCCAAAAAATGCAGTAAAGTCTTAACTCCTATACCTATAAATATGGTCTTGTCTGGAAATAGAGTTCTTTTATTATGTTAGTGAGGTCATAAGAGTAGGATGAGTCCTAAACCCAATTAGTTTTGAGCGATGCCTTATGAGAAGATCTTTGTCTTTCTGAATCCACCTTCAACAAGATGATGCAGGACAGATTAAGGTTCAGGTCTGTTGCTCAGAGGGTTGCAAAGAGCTGTAACTGACTCAATGATGCCCAACAATACCTTATAAGGAGAGTAAAAGACACAAAGATACTCACACAGACACACACGCACACGGAGCTAGGACAAAGGCTAGGGAACTCTAAGGGTTACTGAAAAGGAAGGATCATTCCCTAGTGCTGATGTCCTAGCCTCTAAAACTCTGAGATGATAAATTCCTATTCTTTAAAGCTTCTCACTCAGCTATATTTTATTACAGCAGAACTAGACAACCAAAACATTAGTTGTTTTTTTTGAGGGTGTTGTATATATATATTATATACACACCCCTGCACTGTAAGTTGACTTAGAGTGAAATTACAGTCTAGTTTCCAGGATAATTATGGCAAATGATAAATGCAATTTAGTGTGGAAATAATAATAATAATAATAATAATAATAATAAGCCAAGTATACCTTGAATTATCATTCTTTTATTTGTTCAAAGACTACTATACTAAATAAAAACGCAACCTAAATTTATGCCTAGATTTAGACTTTGCAGTTTAAATTATGTACATCTTACATATAGCAAAGGAAATTATATGTGCATACATGCAAGCCACCTGTGCTAATATAAGTAAAACATATGCATAGAAACTAAGTAATGGATATGTATATTAATTTGATACTTGATCACTATTCACTTTTGGAATAGCTTGCTCACCAAAGTAGTATCTTAACATATGGATAACTTATTATATTGATTATCCTTATGTTGTCTGTAATTTTCTTCGGGCAAAGACTTTGTCCAGAGAGTCTCTCTTCTAAAAGTAATGATTAAAATTTTCAAGTTCTGTTAAGAATAAAGAATCCTATAGTGTAAATATAACACTGAGTTTTTTTCCCTTTTTAAAACTAGTGTGTTGTCACTGTTAGGAGTCCAGTGGTCTCCAACTCAACAGAATGAAACCCTTCTGTGCCATCCTCACACTCTCTCCTCTGCTTACATCCAACACTACACCCACTGTCAGCCCATCTCAATGAAGGTTGTCTTCTTTTTTGCTGATTCTTTACTTCAGCAAACATATCTTTCTCTAAGAACTGTTCCCTCCCAATAACATTTTCAAAGTATATGATACTAAGTCTTAGCCATCCTTGCTTTCAAGATCCATTCCTGCTTCACTGTTTCAAAGGTAGATTTGGTTTTTGGACAGGAGGGAATTGTGGTGTTGGTGAAGAATATTAAATAAGAATATTTACTAACACCACCATTCAAAGCATCAGTTCTTCAATCTTCATCACTCACTGTTCAACTATAACATGACTATACTGTTGAAAACACCATAGAACTATCACATGAATATACTACTGAAAATACCACAGCCTGATTCAAGTGCACCTTAGTCCTCAAAGTGACATCCTTGTTGTTTAATATTTTAAAGAAGTCCTTTACAGCATATTTGCCCAATGCAATACAGTGTTAAGATTTCTTAAAAGCTGCTGCTCTCAAATAGCTTCAGTACTATCATATACATACCCATCTAATATGATAAAATAATATTCTACACTATTTCCTCCTACCTTCTCTAATTCAGGAGCTAAGAAGTGTTCTTGTGGTTGGTTGGGGTTCCCCCCCCTTTAAAAACAAAACATGACAACATACAAAGACCACATTCTGCTGCCAAATTAATTCATTTCAGTTTGGCCATGAACATTTAATATTTTCGTATTCACAAAACTAAGCACCTTTTAAAAAGGCCAAGGCTGTGCAGTGAAATTACTCCTGTATCTCAACTTCTGGGCTAACACTAGACAGTTCTGTTAGGCGATTGGTAAGTCCAGAGGAGAATGAACTTCTTGGAACAACCAGCCACAAAGATCAAAAGAAAAAAGGATGAATGGAAATTAAAATTAAAAACACTGGGAGGTCGTGGGATGCTGCAACACAGGGATTATAATCAATGTCAGAAAAGTAATGGGATGAATTGTTGAGTAAAACACCAATTTGCTTCCAAAGTTCTTACTCAAATCATAATAAAGAGCTAAAAAGCGAATATTCTTATATTCATTAACATTTAAGAATAATGTTACTGTTGTTGTATGGATTCAACTCATTTTGACCCTCCAGCAGGTTTTCAGAGGCAGTGAATGACATGGGAGGAGACTGCCAATCTTTCTTTCATGGAGCAGGTGGTGGATTTGAACTGCATGCCTTTGTGTTGGCAGTGTCGCTCCTTATGACTAGGCCTCCAGACATCACTAAAGTAGCAACTGTCTCATCATGTTTTAATATTTTGTTCCCCAAAGAGGTTTAAATTGAAAACACTTCAGATTGTTTTATTCACAAAACCATAGGTGAATATGATTTTAATAAATCTTGAATAATTTGATATCATTGTATTGAAATCTATCAATAGACAAAATTTCTTAAGTCTTAACAGTAGCATTAAATCAGGTCAGGTGTTTTTTTTTAAGGGAGAAATACTGGAGCTTTGCCTTATGGATATTACAAATGTACTAAACAAAGAACTCAGAACTCTGCATATATTAAATCGTACGCATCGCTATTCTTACACAATCATTCATGAATTCATGGTGACAAATGACAGTTATATAAAACTGTATTGTATTACAAAACCCATGTTTCAGGTAAACTGTTATAAACATTCTTATGGATTTTTGTAATTCATTTTTCAGTGTTATACATACTCTCATTTTCTTTCTAATCCATGTTGTCTTTACACTCACTTTACCTACCATGTACTTCATTTTAGTTTCTCAGTATCTCTAAGGCAGACCTAGGTGTGTGTTCCTGGTGACCTCAGTGAGGGGATACATCCATGTAGAGTATTGTACTTCTGTTAATGGATAACAAATAACAACGAAGATTGACAAACTGTAAGTTCTAGCTCAGAAAAAGAGTCAAAACCCATGAGCTGGGAGTGGGTACCCTGAGAACTCAGATTTTAAGGCTCACTGTCGCATTCTTGTTTTGTGATGTTCTTTCATTCCTCAGGGTAGGGAAAAAAAGCATTAAGTTCTCGGCTTTGTAGAACACTTGGGAATAAGAAGCAGATCACGCCTATTTTAGCAAGAGAGGTGGTAAAGAGATGGGGAAAGTTAACCAGATACGATACTGAGGAGGAGATTATTCTGAAGAGAAGATAGGTTTGATTTTTGAGGGATCTGGAAGAAAAAAAGAAATGGAAGCCCTGGAATAGATCTAGGGTGTGACTCAAGTCCCAAAATTTAACAAAAAATAAAAAGGAAGAATCTGCAAAGTTCTCCCACATCTTCTACTAACCTCACAGTGAAATCCAAATTCTGTTATTTCTTTATATACTTCCTCCTGCTCACTCTTAGTTAAAAAAAAAAAAAAGTGTGTGTGTGTATGTGTGTGTATCTCCACAAGGTGTGCCAGCCTATGCCATAACCCTTCTACTTACATTAACTCAAATATATTACTGTTCTTACTCTATTATATGAAAAAGCTAAGGTAAAACAACACATAAATGGAGCAGAGCCATACAAACACTTAGCGAGTACCAAAGCTGGGATTTAAACCCAGGCAGTCTGACACCAGCAGCTACAGTGCTGATTTACCCTTCACACCTCTGTTCTCCAGGCCACACACGGTAGTTAACATGGCAACTAACATGACAGCTCACTGCCACTTGTCTGTCTTTTCCTGCCACATCCAAAAGCCATTTGGTCTGCATTTTTCCTCTATGAAACAACTCATCCTTATCTCACCAACTCTCATATAAAATGTATTTTTTTTCCTTGGGTCTGACTTTCATGTACTCAGTAAAAACAAGGCTGAATGACAAAAAAAACAGATTGCCAATGTCTGAAAGAAAACACTCAAATTACAGGAAAGGTGACATTGTAAGTTCAAATTGTTTATATATCAAAGAAGCACAACATTTCCCCCCCCCCCAAAAAAAACAGCAAGAGTGCAATGCCACCAGCAAAAATCCTGAGCAAGGAAAAAAACACCCAGGCTACAAATGCAATTCAACAGCATAGCAAGAAATTATTAAAGGCTGGAGCGTTTCTTAGGCTTAGTTTTCTCCCTTGGGTCCACACAGCCTAGAGTAATTAAATTCTAGCAATAAAGTTCCAATGTTGAAGGGAAAACTCCACCATTGAGAAATGAAGGAACCCAGTCCTACCTGCTGATGTGTGTTTGAACTTTTCGCTTTTCTTCTTCCTCCATTTCCAAGGCTTGAAGATCCTTCCCAGGTTGGCAAACTTACTTCTCCTGCGGATGGGTGGGGTGTGGGTACCTGGGACCAGGGAGTCGGAGCGCATGGCCGCCAGCCTCTCCACTTCCTCAGCTGGTGTTTCCAAAAGCAGGAGAAGGATGGAGGGATGGAAGGAAGCAGAGAAAGAGGGAGAGAAGTGTTAACACAGGAGCCTCACAGATGGCCAACGTTGTCCATGGTTACAGATAACAGAAACCACATGACTACTCTGTTTCTCTTTTTGTATTTTGGAATGGAAGCCATATCAGCGTGTTCTGAAGGCGGGGACATAGCTGGTCAAACCCAAGAGCCTCCAAACACCCAAATCAAATTCCTAGCCTTGACCGAGACTTGAGGAAGAGCACTCACTCCTCATGGGGCTGAGACTGAGGAGAACCAATGTAATCACTAGTCCGGCAATCTCTGGAACAAACCTTGGCAGATGGACTCACCCCACCACCGTGTGCTGAGAAAAAAGGAGGGAGAAAACATTTATCAACTGTCTGCTTCAATGCCAAATTCTCCTCTGTCTACTTTGCGCTACTCTGCGCTGTCCATAGGGAGTTTTGCTGCTAACTCAAAGGAATGCTTCTCTGGTGGTTTGATGCCACCAACAGATCCAAAGGGGGGGGGGCGGAAATGGACATTTCCAAACGAAACTAGAGGGGTCACCTGTGAGTCAGCTCTGAGTTCTGACTCCAGGGCATTGAGTGTGTGCTTTCCTCAGACCCTCAGAGGACACGGAAATCTGCAGAGTGGCGTGTTCTATGTGAGGGTTACCAAGTTTAGAATCACAGTGTCTTGAGATTTTATAGTTGCCTTCATTTCTTCTACCGCCTTTATTTTCCCTGGTGTTTTGCTTTTGAAATGGAAAAAGAAAAAAAAAAAACACCCCAAAACTTGAAACAAAACAAGTTTCTTAGCTCTTTTGCTCTGACTAGCCTGCCGTGGAAACAGAAGTATGACAGTTCTGAGTGAGGCCTGAAGTGTTCTCTAATGGATACAGCTTCCCACAGACCTTGATACTCCTTCCAGACATGGGGTTTCTAGAAAACCGAGTCAAGCCAATGAAGGTTTAGCTGGGAAGAAAAACAGATAAACCCAATTCTTAGAAACTGAGAGCTGCAAAGTGGCCCCAAGAAATACCTCGATTAAACCAGTAACTTCACGTGTGAGAAAACAAAAATTTTCCAACTCATCGTGCCCAGTGACACCTTCTTCAAGGCTACCATCACCTCAAAGCTCTACTTATTTCTTTGAATACAACAAACTCTTTCCCAAATTATGAAGTATTTCTGTATCTCAGTGAAGTAAACATACCTGGATGGGAAAATTTAAGACAGAAACACTGATGGAGAAAAATAACCTCCTTGGCAGAGTCAAGAAGGTGAGAGCTCATTTTGCTAATAATCACAAAAATAGCTGTGGGAGATCTGAACTTCTCTGACCTCGACTACTATCACCTAGACCGTATATGCTCTCCTTAGAAGTTCAGCCTGATAATTTACCCACTGTTTTTGAAAACTGTTTTTCACTCAATAAATGACTTTAAGGAACTTCACCCATGTCCAGGCAGCCTGTTATGGTAGGCATCATGGTGACAGATAATGCTGATAGGCGGGTCAGAGCTTGTGACATTAGGGCTGAAAAGATAGTATTATCCTTTGAACTGTGTCTTTCAAAAAGTTACACTGACGGACTTCAGCTTCCTGAACAAATCCGTGACCTGAAATAATCTTTAAACCTTACACCAAAAAGATTTCCTGCAGTCTTTTTGAAGTCAAGTAATGTTAATGTTTTTGCTAAATACAATCAAGTCAACTCAGATTCACAGCAGCCCCATTTAAAAAAGATTAAAACCCAGCCTGGTCCTGCACCATCCACACAATCTCCACCTTGGGTCAAGCCCATTGTTAAAGTCACTGGGTGGATCCATCACCTTTCTCTCCTTCCAAGGGCAGGCCCAGAATCATTCAGCTTAACTTGTTAAAAAAAAAAAGTCTGCCTTGAGCATATACTCTGAGATCAACATGATAACAAGTCCTTTGAGAGATTTAGTGAGAACATTAAGGTGCGGTAAGCTTATGTTCCTGAGTGAGGAACAATTCAGAAAAGATAGGTAGGATAGTTGCACAACTCAAAGAATGTAATCAAAGTCAGAACTGTACTGGCAGAAATGAACTGGTGTGTGTTTTGGTGTATACATTAGCAATGACAACTGGTAATAATAACAACAAAGCTGCATTCAAGTCCTGAGGCCGGTATCTGTCAGTATGATCCTTTTGGGAAAAGTGGGTTTTCTTTTGTTGTATTAATAAAGTCTTACTGGAGTATGGTGAGTCTTATATCCAATTCCCCTAAGTGGTGACTTGCAGGAAGAGCAAACTAGACAGAGACACAGAGGGAAGACAGATGCCACCTGAAGGCCCAACCACACACGGAAGCCAAGGATTACTAGTGCTGTTGCTGATATGTGACTTTGAGTCTGAATCGACCCAGAGCTGACCCTCCAGGGGGTTTTTAACATACAGTAAATCTCATGAGAACAGATTGCCCATTTTTCTCCTCTGGAACACCTGATGGATTTGAATCATGTACCTTTGGGTTCACATCACACGTTCCTGACTACTAGGCCACCAGAGGAGCAGACTGATAGAAGCAACCCAGACCTTGATTTAGACTTTAGCCTCCAGATCTGTGAGAAAACACATCTTTGATCTTTCCTGTATTTTGCTACAGGACCTAGCAGACTAAAACAATGATAAATTTGAGGGACATGTGTGAAGCCCAGTAGGATTGGTAACTGACTTGCCTGAAGGACAGGAAGTAAATCCTGGTGTTCTAAGGACAGAGTTATGGGTTAAACTGTCCCCCAAAAGAGATGCTGATTTCCTGACCCTTGTTACCAGTGAAGGCAATCTTATTTGGGAAACAAGTTTTCGAAGACGAATCAATTTAAGAGCCAGCCATAATGAGATTGTTGTTGCTGTTAGGTGCCACTGAGTCACATACAACTCACAGCGACTCTATGAAAAAGAGATCTAAATACGATCCGATCCTCACATCATCACAGAGATAGATGGAATTTTTTATGCCCTGTGACTGACTGGTGTCTTTATAACAAGAGTAAAGAAAAAGCCACAGAAAGAAGGCTGTCATGTATCATGTAAGGGCAAAGGCAGAAATTGCTGTCACACAGCCAAGAGCCTATGAAAGTCAAGGATTGTCAACAACCACCAGAAGCTGGTAGAAGGTCAGTGAAGGAGAGGAAGACCCTTGACAAGACAGACTGACAGGGCAGTTGCAACAATGGGCTTCAGCATAGTAGAGACTGTTAGAATGGTGCAGGTCAGAAGGGTTTCCTTCTGCTGTACAGAGTCATGGTGAGCCACAGTCAGCTCAACAGCACCTACCAACAACAACCAGAAGCTGGAAGGGCACAGGAAGGACTGACTGTCTCCTAAAGTCTTCAGAGACAGTCTGGCCCTGTACTTGGATTTTGGCCCTTCACCCTCCATTACTGGGGAAAAACAATGTTTGCTATTTTGCATCACTCAGTGCACGACACTTTGTTATAGCAGTCCTAGGGAATGAATACAGGCAGTGACAAAAGGGATGTTGTTGTTGTTACTGTGTGCCGTTGAGTTGGAACAAACTCATAGTCGGTTTTTAGAGTCAATGGATCACTCTGATGGCCTAGTTGTAAGGAGTGGTGCTGACAACCCAAAGGCATTTGGTTCAAATCCATCCTGGTTCCACAGGACAAAGATGGGCAATCTCCTCCCATGCTATTTGTTGTTGTTTTTGTTGTTTGAAGCCATCGAGTCAAGTACGACTCATCTCAAAATGAACAAAAGATCTGAACCCTGTCCTAGTCTGTGCCATCCTCACACTTCCTGACACACTAGAGCCCATTCCAGCAATCACCATGTCAATCTACCTGGTTGAGGGTCTTCCTCTCCTTCCCTGACCCCTTCCCGGCATCGTGGCCTTCTCCAAGGAATAGCCCATCCTAGTAACATGCCTGAAATATTGTGAGGTGAAGTCTCATAGCTGTCCTTGGGATGTTCAGTGCTCTTCTCCAAAACCACTGACCTCAAAGGCTTCAATCCTTTTTCTGTCATCCTTATTCACTGTCCAGCCCTCAGATGCATAGCAAGTAATCAGAAAGACCATGGCCTGAATCAGACACATCTGAGTCCTCAAAATGACATCAGTACTCCTCAGTAAGTTGGAGAGATCCCTAACTGCAGATTTTTTCCCAGTGCTATGCATCTTCTTATTTCCTGCCTGCTCGTGCAATTTACTCTCTCTGAAAACCTACTGAAGGATCAGCTGAGTCAGTTCCAACTTGATGGCATCTAATAACAATGACAACAAATTGCACAGGAGGAGACTGGCCATCCTTCTCCCATGAAGGAGCTGGTGGATTCAAACCATGTGTCTTTGGGATTGCAGCACAGCTTCTTACCACTAGACTACCAGAGCTCTCTGTTTAAAAGGCATAGAGAGAGGTAAAGGCAGATTTGGCTAGGTTTAAGAATGGACAAATCCTACTGTGCAGTTATATAAAATTCTTAAAAAACACTAACTGCTGTCAAGTCTGAACCAATTCGTATCTGACCCTCCAGTGGATTTTTGGAGGCTTTATGTCAGGGAGGAGATTGCCCATCTTTCTGCTGAGGAGCGTTTGGTGGGTTCAAACTACGAGGGAGGTATCAGGTAAGTCAGTATGGACTACACCCAAAAGGAAATGTGTGTCTGCATATGGAAACAATAATGGCTAAATTTTGGGTTTCCGTAATTGCAGAGATAGTGGAGATTTTACATTTCTTTAGGAGCACAGATCATAGAAGGAAGTAGAAGATGATAGTAGCTCAGAGAAAAGGACTGTAAAGTCAGACAATGCCTTATTTTTCCCATTAGTGGCATCAACGTTATTCCTTATGGCAACAGAGAGTTATTGAAGAGGAATTTGCCAAGGTGAGAATGGCGACTTGGTCTAGCCAATGCACTGAGTCATATTGAGTATACTTTTTTGTGTTATAAACTGCTTGCCCCTTTAGTAATGTTCACAGCTAGGCAGAGCAACA